TTTTTTTTTTTTTTTTTTTTTTTTTTTCCTGACACTTTTCGTTCTCACGAGTAGTTCAGAACTCAGTACTATTAATTTAAAAAGCTTTTCAATTTAATTCACTGGCATCTCAAAAAGTAGCTTGAAATTTACTGCCTGATTATTCATGGATTTACAGAAATCATTGCTTTGGTGTACATTTAATATATTTTTTTTTTAAAACAATACCAAGACTTATCTCTTAAAACAAATTTAACTTCCTATATCTTTTGCTGGTAAATCCAGTTTACCTATTACATTTGCAGACATACACAGGGTTTTTCATAGAATCATAGAAACATAAAATCACAAAATGGGTTGGAAGGGACCTTTAAAGGCTAGTCCAGCCCCCCTGCAATGAGCAGGGACATCTTTACCTAGAGCAGGTTGCTCAGGGTCCATCCTGACATTGAATGTTTCCAGGGATGGGGCATCCACCACCTCTCTGGGCAACCTGTGCCAGTGTCTCACCACCCTCACTGTAAAAAATGTCTTCCTTATATCTAGTCTGAATCTACATTATTGTAGTTTAAAGCCATTATCCTTTGTCCTATCGCTACAGGCCCTGCTAAAATCTATCCCCATCATTTTGCATTTTCCCAACACCATCAGTGCCACCATTCTTTGTGGAGAGACATCACCAAGACCTCTCCTTGATGCCTGCTCTTGTCGAGGTCAGGAGCAGTTTGTAGCAAGCCAGAAAAGCTCAACCACATGTGCTGAGCCCTTATGGACAGGCCCAAAGTGTTTGTCGCATTTAACAACTCTGTGGGGAAGAGGCTGTGGGCTTTGCCATCCGTGAAGATCTCCCTGGGACACCCTTTGTCACAGCCCCTGTCAGGCTCTTCCCAAAGCCAGGATTAGGGTGAAGGGGTCACTCCTGGGCACCAGGACCCACCTTACACTGCCCTGGAGCTGCCAGCTCCCCTACACCACTGCTTGCAGCCAGTGAGGACAGGGAAGACACAATAACTCAGTCTGAAATGTCTTCCCTGAAAAGGGTTCCAAAACATCCTAATAACCATGCCTAGGAGCAGGCAGTCTAGAAAGGGCTGGTGTGACCATTTCAACCATCAGTACTGCCTATCTGTGAAGAGAAGAGATACAACTATCTTTCTGAAGGCTACCAGAGTCTTCCCTGTGATTCCTGACCATTTATATGAGAGGAAGAGAGTAAAAAAAGCTCTGCATCAGAGGGACTTGGTCATGATCAACTAAAGAGTCACGAATCAGAAATCTCACCATCTGGCTTATTGCCTCTGTCTCTCCCCAATTTTTAAGAGCATGCTTATAATGATGTTTGGCAAATTCAAGAAATGCTTCAGATGACTTTTTTTGCTGGGAAGGACTGAGTCCCATTAGTAATTCATAATATATTTGAAGACATTTAGTCGGTTTTCTGGAGGGCCTTTCTGCTGTCGTTGAAGAAAACCTTTGGGTTTTCCCTCTTCATCTGGGTCTCTTGGGATGGTGAGGAATTGCAAGGGATGAATGACAGTGAGGAGTTTAGGACAATCAGAGGCAACCCTATGGAAATCCCAGTCCTTACCACAAGGAGACACTGAAGATACCCTTGGTAAATATTTCCAGCTGAGAGAGAGGATGCCGTGCTATTTATCTTTAGCAGCATCTGTGAAATCATCAAATGGCTGGATAGGAGGAAACTTAAAAGAAGAGAGTAGGTGGGTAGAGAAGAAATTTTAAAACAACATCTCAGCAATTTGGTATTATTTTTAGGATGAGAATATTCTCAAACATGAAGAAGCAGATAGGCACAAATTAAACAGCATGACACAAAGCATCAAAGTTTGTTTTCAACTAGCAATAACAAATATCCACTCATAGCCAGTGACACCATGCTGATACAGTCTGAAAGAGAGTCAGTCATGTTGAGCAGAACTGTATTCTCTGTTTGGAGAAACAACTAAATTTTTGGATTTCATACAATCATAGAATCATCTAGGCTGGAAAAAAGAAGTTAAGGTCATCGAGTCTAACCATAAACCTAACACTGACAAGTCCACCGTTAAACCATGTCCTTAAGCACCACGCCTACATGTCTTTTAAATACCTTCAGGGATGGTGACTCAACCACTTCTCTGGGCAGCCAGTTCCAATGCTTCATGACCCTTTCAGTGAAGATTTTTTCCCTACTATTCAGTCTAAACCTCCCCTGGCACAACTTGAGGCTGTTTCCTCTCATCCTAGAGCTTGTTACTTGGGAGAACATACTGACACCCACTTTGCTACAGGTTCCTTTCAGGTGGTTGTAGACAGTGATAAGGTCTCCCCTGAGCATCCTTGTCCCCAGACTAAGCAACCCCAGTTCCCTCAGCCACTCCTCACAGGACTTGTTCTCTAGACCTTTCACCAGCTTTCTTGTTCTTCTTTGGACATGTTCCAGTGAGGGGCCCAAACCTGAACACACTGATTTGTCTATTCATGACAAAAAATGAGCTCATATGTCACTCTCTGGTACTCACCTGGCCACCAGTCTGATAGCAGCAATCCCAATTTATGCAGCCCAGGAGACTGTTGGCTTTCTGAGCTGTGAGTGCACATGGCCTGCTCATGCTCATTTTTTTCCAGTCTAATTCTCCCAGGTCAAGCCTTGCACAGCCCATGGGCTATTTGGAAAAAGAAGCCCCTCCAAGTGTTGTCTGTCTTACTATGCTGAGGAGAACTCTGGTACCTCAGTTTAATTATGTACCCTACTCATGTCTTGTTGTTTTATCCCTCTGTACTGCCTGTTTTTTTTCACAAGAAACCTGAGTATGTGATTTCAACAAGGACCTGGACCTTGAGGCAATGTGATGGGATGCTTCACCAAACACCTGGATGCAACTTTGGCATCCCCACTTCACAACTGTTCTACATGCTCCAAACTCTTTGGAGCAGGAATGGCAATCAGATCTCCCAGGTTAAGAAGGAAGAGTGTTTCAGACCTTTTTTTCCTCATATCAATATCTCTTAATCTTTATTTTGATCTGATGTAGGTACTCAACTTGAGACAAGGTAGTGAACTTCAAATATGTGCTTGGCTCCCTAAAACAGAGAGCGCGAAGCCTTGCTCACATCTTACCATCTATTTCTCCTTATGAGCTTGGATTGATCCATGTTGCTCATTTGTGTCTTCTTGTTTTAAGACCCAACCTCCCTTTGCTCTTTGAACAGGGATGCTGGGTGTTAGCTTCATGGCTTTCCATGATTGGCAGGAAAAGGAGGAGTTAGGTGATGCGTTAAACTGAAGAATTTATGCGTGGTCTGCCACTGGATGATCTATCCTTTGTAACACAAAGGGGAGTCTGAGGAGTCCCAGGAGCTGCTGTCACAGCTGCAGGGTTATCCTTCCTCTCCACATCCACCTTTTAAAGTGAATTAATCCTTCCTAAAACATCTTCCTCCTAGAAGCCAAACAAAACACTAACTTGTTGCTGAACTTGTTTCCCGAAAAATTTTAAACTAAACATATAAGGATATCTTTCAGTTTCCTCAGCTGGGATATTGGCACTTACATGTGGAACTGGCTTGTTCATCTGAATAAAGCATATACTTTTTATTTCTTCATTGTTCCCATTCCCAAACAAAACTCCCTGTTCTTAAATCGAGTTACATAATCAAGGACAGGCAAACTGCAGCCGTTGAAGGGAGCTTTCAGTTTTATTGAATGTTTAATATGGCAGAAAGTTCGGAGATTCCATTTTTATTTGTTTAATTTAATTCAGTTATGTTTATGTGGATACAAACTCTCTGTATGTGATTTGACTGAAAAACAAGGTTTAAGTTCTATTTGTACAAGGAAATACACTCTTCACATTTTAGGACATAGCCTGTGGAGTGTATTATTTATGCTTAGGATACAGCATTTAAATTTCATGGCAGGAGAGAGTTATTCAGTTTTAAGAAAAGAGAAGAAAAATTAAGACCCGGCTTGTTATCTGATTTGAGAATATTTTTTTTTTTTTTCCCCTCTGGTATCACCCTCCCCCACTTTCTTTTAAATTCTTCCACTCTCTTGCTTTCTGTCAGTAGGTGCTCAGATAATATGACCACGGGCAATGCTTTAGGGAGGTAAAAAAATTCTGGGTACATGAAAGGAGACATAGCATAGCAAAGTCAGTGAACTGTATCTGTAGGGGAAACCTAATTCAGGTGCCCCAAATTCCTCATAATATATCCAGAGTCACACCATGCCGTGCATGCTCCCTTCAGCTTGCCCCTATACTGCACTGTGGCCAGCAGGGACTTTAGCCCAAGTAGTAGCAGGGTCCTAAGTTAAAACTGTCATTAACTTTGTTTTTAGGGGAGTTTAAGTGTTTTCCCTTCCCTTCCCCTCTCTCTAGGTTAATAAGTGAAATAATGCCAAAGAACATCTCTGGATACTCAACTTTCCCACTGCTCAAAACGGTTCACAGGTTCCTGGCATGGTTTTGGCCCATGTCAGCAATTTCAGGCAGCTCCCAGGCACAGTTTGGCAGTGAGCATAAACCAGACACTGTTCCCAGGAAGCAGATAGGATTTGACCACCCTGGTTTGGGGATTGAATTTAATAATATGGATACAAACTATTCCGTGCCAGTTAGACTCATGGCTCATAGTTCAGATATAGTCTAAAAATTTAACCACGAACTTGCTGTTTGAATTAGGTGAACTGCATCCTCACTGCCTTCCATGTAATATTCATTCTAGTGATAGAATATGATATTAATATTAATATAAACATGCAATTTAGAGTTGTAATCCTAAGGTAATTGTATATCATTGCTTTCATTATTATAAATGCACAAGCACAATAAAAATCAATGTTTCCTGCCTAAGAGGCATAGGAACGAGCAAGTGTAAATGAATCATTTTAACAACTCTGAAATTAAACATTTTGTTCTCCAGTATCAAGATGAGAAAGTTGAAAATTCAAATTTTGGCCTTTCTCCCACCCTCAGTTTTGAAATGAACATCTAGTGATTGGATTTAGCTATCAGAAGAGAACCTACATTGCACAAACTTTCATGCACCTGTACTTATTTATAATCAGAGTTTCAGAATACTTTCCTAAAAATGTAATGACAGCGCTCCTAAAAAAAAAAGACTTGCAGAATCACTGCACAATTTTGCCAACATTGGTCTTTGTTACTGAAGCTTAACATGTTGTGGGTTTTTTTTGTTTGTTTGTTTGTTTGTTTGTTTGTTTTTCCTCCAGATATATAATTAAAAGTTTCAGCCCACTGTTGTTTCAAGAGCCTTAGACTGGGTTTTAGCACATATTGAAATCACAAGAGCAGTTTCACAGCTCCCTGAACGACCAATCTTGTTTCAATATATACATTTTTTTTTAAATCTCTGATAACTAATGTTGTTTCTGTATTTATGATGGATCTGTTAGACTTCAGTGAAAACGTAAAACATAAATATCCTTTAAAACACATGGTATATAAAAGAAGGGAACTTAATCAGTGTTGTGGAGACTGGAATTCTGGAGAATGGTTCCCTCTCCCAGCCTTACTTGTATTGCTCCTGTGTACATGACTTTGGTCTAGACCTGCTTCTTTACTGAAGCTTCATTCTGGCTTACCTTGTTTAATCATAATCCTTATCACACAACTAAATAAAAGGCACCTGATCACATCCTAGATGCGTGAACATCAGGAAGATGCTTGGTTGACAAAAAAAAAAAAAAAAAAAGAAAAAAAAAAAAAAAAAAAGTATTAGTGTTGCAGCAGCAAGAACAGCATTCAGCAAATTTCCCCATTGTGTCAAAAGCCCTTATGCTGCGTGGGATTTTTTGTGCAAATGAAGGGTGATGCCTGTTTGGTCAGCTTCTCTCATTCCCTAGGGGTTTCCATTTGTGCATCCTCTTGAATATGGAATTAGTATAAAGTAGAGCAGCCAATTTATCTTGTGTAAGTCATGAAAATAGCCACAGATAGACCAGGAAGTGGGGGACAATCACACCTTTATAGAAATGAAAACTGCAATTGCTCAGTTAACCTAACTCCTGCAGAACACTGGCCAGAAAATCTCTATGGATTAACTGTTGAATGAGCTGCAGTGTACCTTGTAGAAAAACTAATAATTCTGTCTTGGCTTTACTTTTTATTGCCATGGAGGTAAACTCTTTGCCTAACATAAAGAAATGTTCCTTTCTTAATCATTATCTCTGATAAAAATACAAATCTGTTTTCTGTTCTGGGTTTTGTTGAACTTGAACCTTAAACCGGTAGAATCTTCTGATTGGGTATATCTGCCAACCCTTTTCAGTTCTCTGTATCACCTTGTTATTAAGATGAATAAATTAATCTTGTTGTGTCTTTCATTATATGGTAGATTCTCTTGTACTTAGAGAGTCACGGAATCACAGATTGGTTGAAGTTGGAAGGAACCTTTGGAGGCAACTTGGTCCATCCCTTTTGCTCAATCAGGGCCACTTAGAGCCAGTTGCACAGGACCATATCCAGATGATCTCTGAATATCTCCAGGGAAGGAGACTCCACAACGTTTCTGGGTGACCTGTGCCAGTGCTCAGTCACCCTCACAGTAGAAAAGTGTTTCCTGATGTTCGGAGGGACCCTCCTGCGTTTCAGTGTGTGCCCGTGGCCTCTGGTCCTGGCACTGGGCACTGCTGGAAAGAGCCTGGCTGCTTCCTCTTTGCACCCTTCCGTCAGGTATTTATATACATTGACAAAATCCCCCCTGAGCCTTCTCATGGTTAAACTGCCACAACTCACTCAGGTTTTTCTCATAGGAGAGACGTTCCAGTCCCTTAATTATCTTGGTGGTCCTTCACTGGACTCTCTCCAGTATGTCCATGTTCCTCTTGTACTGAGGAGCCCAGAACTGGACACAGCACTCCAGGTGTGGCCTCACCAGTGCTGAGTAGAGAGGAAGGATCACTCAACACCTGCTTCCAACATTTCTTCTAATGCAGCCCAGGATATCATCGTACCACCTTTGTGGGAAGGGCATATTGTGGCTTATGTTCAACTCGGTGTCCACCAGAATCCCGAGGTCATTTTCTGCAAAGCCTCAGACAGTGTTTTGACATGACATCAGTGATGCCACATCACTTTATTCAGTTCAACAAGACCTTTCTTGAAAGGGACATATCAGGAAGAGCATAATATTCCACTGCCATTGCCTCGCATCTGTGACAGATGCAACATGACCTTTATGAATAAATACATTATGTCCTTTTGCTTATTTAGACACAGGGCACTCTTGCCCTTCTGCCCTCAAGTTCAAGCTCATACTTAGTGAACTGTCACCAATGACCATCATTTCACTTTCAGAGTCATGGCTTTCCAGAACAAACTCCACCATCTCATAGGGAAAAGATGTTTATTTTCTTTTTAGATGTACAAATTAATTTTCCCTCTGTTAATAAGTTGTTTGCTGACATCCAGCTTGTTGAACATTCCAGATCATGGTACATTTTTCCCCTTCATCAGTTTACCTGCATTCTTTCAGTCACTTATAAATTCTACCATCAGTGGAACTACGTATTCTCGTTGATAAGAAAATAAATTAATGTCAGGGAAGGAACTGAAACCTGAAACTCTATTAGGAATTTACATGTTCAGTCATTATTCTCTTTTCTTCATCCATTTCAAGTTCAGATAGATAGCTTTAG